CTATAAATCATGATAATTGACAACATAAAATATTTCAAAAATGTTATATGTGGGTAGTCTTATTATGCCTTAAATAGCGTCAAAGAAAGTACATGTTTGTGATAAAAAAAAACTTATTCCTTTATCCACGCAAACAATCGCTTCAAAAACTCGATTACTAGCCCCAAAACATACCATTTATATTATTGGGCCTATGCATAGCACGAGCAACATTATCTAGTACTTTTTATAAGTGATGGAGTAATTTATTTCTGGCTTGTTACTCTTACTTTGTTCAGCATAAGTTGCTGAATTTCACAAAAGGTCATTAAACTTACGCGGGAAAACTTTTCAATAATGAGTGACAGTAAGGCTCGAATTCAATCTACTTTTTTATCATGTTGAAATGTATCATTATCTTATCTAAGACACTTAAATTGTTAAAAAGAACATTATTTTATTGTCTTTAGTAGTATTATTAAATATTCATATAATATCATACTCTTTATTTTTATATTATCTATTGCTCCATTTGTTTTGTTTATCTTGTTATTTTGCTTCTCTACCCCACTTATGTACGTAGGGAGTAAAGTTTGTGTGCGTATATCATATTCTCTTCCGACTCAACTCTTACATAATTTTGAATTTACTTCTACTATTCAGTTTTATTTATTCATTTTGAGTTTTGCGCTCCCTTAAAAAATAATGATAATTAATATAAATATTTTATATTAATTGATATAAGTCTTTAGAATTTTTTTTGAGAAATAAGTAATTTATGTTGAGGTTAAAAGAATAAATATAAAAAGATAATAAGAAAAAATAAAAATATATTTTTTAAATATAATAGAAAAGTAAAGTGACCTGATAGGGTAATTAATTATTGTAATAGGAACTTCCCGGCTAATGTTCATCTAAAAATGCCCAAAATATTTTTTCTTAATGAAAATTAGTGAAAGATAACTGATTCTATGATTAGAAAAAATTGTTTGATGACTTTTCTGCAATAGTACGTTTTAGTTCAATGACCTTCTAGGAAATAATGCCATAAAATAAGGCTAGTGACTAGCAGAGCAATGATAATAATGGTAAAATTGTATTCCTTATGTTCATGTTGTATTATTGGGTAATTGTTTATTGTTTGTTTGCTAAAAATGAATTCCCCCGATTTTTATAAATGATGGAACCTGAATTTTTACTAACATGAAGAAATAAACACACAAAAAATTAAAAAAAAGTCTAATATATAATATTTAAATATATAAAATATAAATTTAGTCATATATAAAAAATAGTATAATTTTTTGCTAAAAATAGTTCAAATAAACCTCTCGATCCTATCTGGATCTGCTCCTGAATACACTACATCTTTCTTAGACACTAATTATAAAATTATATTAAATATATTATTACTATATATATGTCGTAAGTAATTAAGTCGATTTTTCGACTAGTCTCTTTATTTGGAAGGGGAGGGGAAGAAGATAAACTAGTAAGACTTGGTGAGAGCAATTAATAAAGTAGTAAAAGTTTTGCTTAGTAGTGAAAATTAGTCAATTGTTAATAAAAGCAACTAGTGGAATAAAATAAAATAAAGTATCAAGATTAGTTCCTTGACATGCTGGATAGATGTTCCAACAACTCTTTGGAATAAGTATGTTATGAGATGCATCATCAAGTTTACATAAAAATAATTAAGTCAAAATTAAGGAATGTTGTTGTAATTAATTAAATTTCTATAATGCCTCCATCCACTAACAACAATATTAGATGACTTATTCCAAACATAATGGATCTACGTTGCAACCACATCTCTTTTGAAAGCAAATAAAATAAAAAAGAAAAAGAAGAGAGAACGACACTTGATATTGAGTTTGGACATGCGAAATGAGAACATGATTTTAAATTAGTATTTAGACATGTGATTTGAGATCACTATTTCAAATACTCCTAAAGCACGATTCAAATTCCTAATTTTATAAAATGTAAAACTTGACCCATAATTAAGTTTATATTTTGTAAAATAAAAATATGTCATTTAAATTTTTGCAAAAAAAAAGAAGGTTTAAGCTCAGCGTGAAGAAATTGTTCGTGATAGAATTATATTTGTCACGATCCAACCCACCGAGCCGTGCGGGCACCCACTCTAACACCTAAGTAGGAGAACCCTCATATCCCAGTAGTCATGCAGAAAATTAACGAAAAACGGAGATAAATGAAATCATAATGTTTTTATAAATGAAAACCTCTTTTAACAAATTCGGGTTAAGACTTGTAAAGTAATTAAGACTCCCAAGGATCTAGTCTAAACAGGTACAAGAGCTACTAAGAGTACAACATGATATAATAATGAAAAGACACAGCTCCGACCATGCGGAAGGAACAGTAGAAGCTGTTGGAGAATTCTTCGTCTTCATCTAATGAAACATCACCAACCTGCATCCAATCTATGCCAAAAAGGCATAGCAAGAGTAGTATCAGTATAAAACCACACGTACTAGTAGGCATCATTGGTCAACTCGACTCCCATCGCATAACATAAGAAATCAACTAGCAAGAATATGCATTAAATCACTACACACCCTTACTTTCTCTTCTATGTTACCGTGCCCTTGCCACATGACACATTACATCAAGCTTTCTAACTACCAACCACGAATTCCTTCCTCCAAGGGGAAATCCACCTAAGTAATTACATCACGTTCACTACCCCTACTTCTCGCCCTTACAACACACGGACAATCCTTGCTCTTAAATTATTACGACCCTTGAACCCTTGGCCTTCTCGATTCATTCAACAACACGATATGCAATAAGTTCACTCAACACAAAAGAACAATCAGATATAACTCCTCATAACTATATAACCACTCCGGGGAATTACAATATCATTTATCATTACGAACCACGTTCAATTTCATAAACCTCAAAATACACAATTATGTCAAGTCATTGGTCCTCTCATGGAACCCAAACCCAAACTGTTAGCATACCGAAACGTGGTACGATCCAATGTTTATGTCAGAACGTGGCAACTGATCCCATATTTATGTCGGAACGTGGCAACCGATCCAAGTTAGTGTGTCGGAACGCAACACCCGATCCATTCAACAAGCCACAATCACAAGTACATTCTCATAATAATAAAATCAAGTCATATTCATCTATCTCATTACAAGTAGTGTGGCCAATAATGCAACATTGCATACATACACGTATTATCATGAAGCAAGAACAACATATATCTCCTAATCATGAAATCACAACCATCATAATGAAGTATTGATCGTCATATATCACTTAACAATAATTCGACCAACTTAGCCCTAGTTCAGCACCCAAGACTTCATTCCATGATTAATCATCTTTTGTTCGGTGCACGAAGGCCTACGCTTAAATCCTACCATTGATTTACATTATATTACGCAGTGAGCACAAATTTATAACTACTCAATTAATAAATCTAGCCTACCTGGGCGCCAAGCAGTTGCATCGAAGTTTTGGCTTCGATTATTGTGTTTCTGACCTTGTGACGGTGATCTTGACTGGAATTCTGCCATCCACAATGCTTCTTACGCTAGCAATATCCTTCTCCTTCCTTCCCAAGCTTGGAGTAGCTTTTTGGGGGATTTCTAGGATGTTTTACAACTAATTTAGGTATTTTAGGAAGAAGGAGGAAATATGATTTTGCGTTATTTACATTCTGGCTCTCTTATCCCGCTCTGGCGCCAACTTACCCCGCCGTGGCGCTGCCTTGCCGCCCTAGCGGGATAGTGGCCCAGTAAATTTCTGAATTTTTGCTTTTCCTAATTAACGACGGTTCGGGTCGTTACATTATTAAACAATAACTAGTTACAACTATTTTTGACTAATTGATCATTATAAAAATTAGGGACAAGGGTCTGAAAAATATCCCAACTTTGGTCGGATTTGTTGTTGCGATACTAAACTTTCATAAGGACCTATTACCTCCCTAGACTATTTAATACCATATTTTTTACCCCCCGAACTATTTAATAATGTATTTTAAAGGTATATATGCGCCCACGTGGACACATTACTATTTATAATTTTGCATTATTTTTTATGTCCACGTGGGCAAATATATATGTTTAAAATACAGTATTAAATAGTGTATGGAGGTAATAGGTCCTCATGAAAGTTTAGTATCGCAACAGCAAATCCGACCAAAAGTTGGGGTATTTTTCAGACCCTTATCCCTAAAAATTATATGTATTTGAGAGTTTGTAATTACATACATTTATTATAAATGGAACATGAATATATGTGATTTATCAATGCGTCACTTTAATTGGGATATTCCGATATCTTGTTATAATTTATGGTTTGCTTGTTTGGTAAAGATTGTATATATAAGATTTGAAATATTTTTTTGATAGTTTTCACCACTTAACTTTTTTCATGTTTGTGAGAAAAAGTACAACTTAAAAAAATTAAATTTTATGTCCAAATAAAACTTCAACTTCAAATTAAACAATCTGATTTCAAATCATGATTCAATATCAACTAT